TTGGAATTTCAAGGGAACCAGGAGTCCTTGCTCTTCTTGGATTCAGCCATCCCTGGCAGGGGTTAGCCAAAGGCTTGGGTGGCCAGGACAGCCCCAGGATGGAATCAAGAAAGAAATCTCCTCCAGGAACTGACCACCCCACCACCCACTAAAGATCACCAGCATAGATCAGAGCTACAGGTGAGAGCATTTGTATTATCCCAGTTCTTCCTAACAGCTAGTCTGTACAGGAAGTGGACTCATCCCCCCTACACAGTGTGAAAGGAAAAACTTCAGATGTGTTCAACTGAATAGAGTTTACCTAAGCAAAAGATGATTCATGGAAGAGGCAGCCTCAGAACCAGAAGTGGGGTTCAGAGAGCTCCCTCACCAAGTGAGCAAGCAGCATCTTTGGACAGAAACTGGAAGTGAGCTACAGAGCTGCTTGGTCGAAAATGTGTTCATATGAACACGGTCTGATCAATTGGCTATGAATGGGTGAACCTCCACAGCTGTGATTGGCTGATACTCAGCTATTATACAGAAGGATGCCCCTCAGACTGGTACTTAGCTTGCATACGAAGTTAGGTTGTATTTCATTACATAAAGACTCAAGTATGGAGGTGCCCTCAAGGAATTCGGTTGAACACCAGATAAGACAAAGATCACTGGTGGGAAGTAACTGGCTCAAGGTCACACAATAAATGGCAGATCCAGGGCTCAAAACCCACATCTCAGATTGCAAGTTCCTTTGATTCTTCTGCAGTGATTAAAAAAAAAAAAAAAAAAAATAAAAAAAAACACCAAAAAAACAAAATCAATCCCAGCCTGGATGTCTTAGTTACTTTTCTCTCATTGCTGTGACAAAATACCTGATGCCCAGAATTAAGGAAGGAAAGGTTTATCTAGCTGAGAGTTTGTGGAGGTTTCAGTCTGGCTGGCTCTCAGGAATCAGCTGGCTCCAAGGAAGAGAGGCAGAGCTGAGAGGGCAACAGTTCATGACGGCAGAAGACAGCAAAATCAGCAAGAGCAAAAGGGAGGAGTGCGGGAGAAGACTCTTTCTGTCCCTTATATTGTATTAGGCTACCACTCTAGGGTAGCACCCACACCCGTAATCCCAGCACTGCACAATGAATCAGTCAAAAAACCTATATTTGGCCACCTCTGAAAAGCACTCCTCCATGACTGCATGAGGCTTTGAGGGGACATCCCGACACAAACCACAACAGTGGGTGATTTATGGTTTCAAGATCTAATTCTAAATCTCTGGATAGTTAGAAAGACCACAAGTTCCACAACCTCTCTGCCCCTCAATACCTTCATTTCTGAGCTGAGCTACAAACAGCCACCTGTCAGGGTTGTGAAGCCAAGGGAGTGCCTGTGTGTGCGGGAGCTGGGTGCCAGTGAGGCTCACTTTGGTCCACTCTGTTCTTTTGGGATTTGAGGTCTGGTTCAAAGCAGTGGTCCTTGTCACTCAGCCATTGAGGGGCAGGGTGGACACATAAGCCCCACCTATGCAGGGCTCCCTCTGCTATGGGGCTGATCCCACACAGGAAGACCACAGTCAGGAGCTGCTTCTATAGCCAGTAGAGAGTGTGAGGGAGCTGGAACCAAGCTGACATGGACAAAGGTCTGGAGACACAGCTGGCCCTCACTTGGGGCCTAATTATCCAGCAGTCAAAGCTCCAATGACATTTGAGATCCCCATCAACCCTGAAATATCCTCAAATGCCATCATGCTGGAGTCTTCTATCTAGACTTCCAAATTAAGCAAGGCACAAGGTGCTATGGTGGCCCCCAGGGGCCATTTCTACAGCAGTCCACTAAATCTCTGGCTCCTAAAGAAACTGCAAGTTTGGGCCTTCAGCACAGAGGCAATATCAAGAAGGAAAGATACAGGTACACGTGAACCATCCCGACATGGAGAAACTTCTGGGAAAACATGCCACATGGCGGGTCGCTCTTGGCCCTGCCCTTGAGAGCCAGAAAGGCCCAGAGTCAGCGGAGGAGCAGCTGATGAACAAGGACTCAGAGGACTTGGGAGTACTGACACCCGATGACTCAGAGGTCGAGCTGACTGGGGACGCGAGAGCCATTCGGGAGCTGGAAACCAGGAGGACCTTGCGTGATACCCAGGGAGACCCCCTGACCATTCTTCCCCTACCTGTGCAGGCTGTGGTGGAGGAGCGAGTGGAGCTCTGGAGAGGTCTGCACCGAGACTTCATGGATTACATGGGTGCCCAATATTCAGATTCTGTAGAACCGCCTTCATGGAGAAGGAGGAGCCCCATGAAATCATGACTATAGAGGAAAAAGTGGATGGCCTGGACACTGGTGCTGGTCTCTCAGTCCTTCTTCTCAGCCCTGGCCTTCCTTCCAGCCATCACACCTCAGTGAGGGGAGTCACTGGTGAGGAGGTAATCCGCTATTTTTTGCAACCCTTGGTCTGTAACTACTTGTTGGACCTTTCTTGCATATCTTTGTTTTCCTGAGAAACCACTTTGAGGGTGCCAACATGTATTGCAGCATCCACCGATGATTTCCTACCAATCTGTCCATAACTCTGTAATGTCTGTATTGCTCCTATGCTACTTCATAAATGGATGTATGTTTGTTACTATGTGTTTGCAACAACAACCATTGAGAATAGTCAATGATTATTTGATTGATCACTCATGTATAGCTCAATTTGTTTTCCCTGGAGATCACTTTGGAGAAACCAAGATATAGTACAACAACCATTGATAATTTCCTGCCATTTCTGTCTGTAACTCACTATTATTTGTCTATTTGTTTTCCTGAGAAACTACCTTGAAGATACCAATAGGTAAAATAAGAACCATTGATAATGTCCTACCACTTTGTCTATAATTCAGTGAATCCCCCTATTGCTATGTTATCCTTCTTTTACTCTTTAAAATAGAAAAAAAAAAAGATACAGGCGCACAAAAAAATGATTCCAGGGTATATCTAATCAAATCTCTTAATTTTGTAGGGATTTTGTTTGTGGAACAGAAGATTGAACTCAAGACCTTCACACTGGATTACTTTCCTGCTTGTTTTTATTTTTTATTTTTTATTTTTTATTTTGAGAAGGAACTCATTAAGTCACTAGTTTGCCCAGACTGGGCTTGAACTTGTGATCCTTCTGCTTCAGCCTCCCAGAATTCTGGGATTACTAGTGTGCACCACCAAGTATAACTCAAACCTCCTAATCTAACAACTGAAGAAAGCAAGGCATGAGAGAACATGCTATTAAATATCACACAGTTAACATGTAGCAGAGCTGCCCCCTGAACCAAAGGCCCCATCTTCCACCAGCCCTCCCCCTCCCCAACATGGCCACTGCCCTGTTCTCAAAACCAGCACTCAGACTTTGCCATCCAAGCCATCCCAGTCTCCATATCAAGATCTGTGTTCACAAACACTTACTTGGCCCCAATGAGAAGTAAGAAAACTCAGATGGTCATGAGGGTGGGGTCCCCACAATGGGATTGGTGCCCTTTTACAGGAGGGCAGGTGGCATTTGAGGATACACTAAGAAACCAGCCATCTGCCCACTGGGAAAAGGGCCCTCAGACCCACTGGCACCCTGATCTCAGACTTCTAGGCTCCAAAGTCATGAGAAATAAATGCTTTATGCCACCAAGTCTACAGTAATTTATTCTACCAGCCCTAACCAAGGGGGACACTGCTCAATAAAGAACAAAATGTGCAGGCCGGCATCCAGGTCCTTTTGGATGAAGCATGATCCAGCCTTTCTAGCCTAATTCATTCTTCCTATTCACTAATACATTTTCCCACTCATTCAGTGAGTATATATTGATGCTGAACACCAAGAAAAAGACAATCAAAAAATCATTTCTGTCGTTTAAAAACCTCAAAATTTAGTGCAGTAAACAGCACCACAAATAACTGTCATGCAGTGTATTAAGGGCTGGGTAACAGCTCTTTACAAGGAATTATGGGAACCCAGAGAAGGACTCTAATATGGAGACTGTAGGAAGAGCGTGTGACTTTTATAACAGTCTTCCAGAAGAATGTTATAGACTTGGTAGACAAGTGGTAGACTTGGTGAGTGAGGGGAAGGCACAGTCTGAGCAAGAGAAAGGTATGGAGCCAGAATGCCAAGTCCAGGAGGCTGGTGACATAAGCCGTGTGCTTCTGGTGATTCAGAACCTAAAGAGAGAGGTCCTTAATTAGTGGTCACTAGGTGAACAGAGATGATCCCCATGTGGGACTCCGGAAGTTCCATGCTTCTGGGACACAGAGAGTGAGACGGTACACCCGGCTGGAGACAAAGTGGAGAGAAAGGTAATAGGTCAGGCCACCAAAGGCTGAAACCAGATTGTGCAGGCTAGGGAACCTGAAGTCCACACTCTTCAGGGGACAGAGTCCTTGTCCTTGACATTGTTAGGGCAGTTTTATGTATGAATTCAACTTTCATCAGGTTTTCAAAAGAATTCTTGGCCTAAATAGGTTGAAATAACTGGGGAAAGGGTTGGAACATGTTGGAAAGTTATGAGCCATGGAGGAAGAATATTCACCCTGTATGTGGATGCCACTGATGTATGAAAATAGTGTCCCTAGTACCTGTCATAGGCTTGGCACATGTAGGCCTTGGACAAGCAAAAGAAGATTCCTCTGTGGAAGTTGAGCTGGCAGTAACAAGCAGACTCTTATGAGCCTGGTGGGTGAACCTGACCTGGGGCAAAGGGACTACGGTTTGCTGGTACAGAATACACATACCACCAAGTGTTATGGTGGCCTGTAGGGGCCATTTCTAGCACTAGCCCAATTAAACTGGCTTCTGAAGAAAGTGTGGGTTTAGGCCAGAAGCAGAGAGATAACATAAAGCAGGAAAGGTGCAAGGAAGTGATTTGGAGGTGAAATTAAAAGGACTTGATGGTTTAATAAATGTGTGATTTGAGGGAAAAGAGAAATCAAGAATGACTTGACAGAAAAGCTACACAAGGAAACAGGAAGTGACGTGTGACATGAGGAAACAGGAAGTGGTGTGTGTCAGGAGCAGCCTGTGATTGGCTCTGCTGGAGATGGAAAGACCGAGGGAGACATGGAGCAGGCAGACATTCATGAGGCTGCAGCCAGGAAGTGAGATTTGAGCCAGAGCTGGAGATGTGGGAATTGGGAACATAGGGCTGTTGTTGAAATCCAACAAAAGTAAACAGAATTGAGTATATGGAATGGGACTCAGGATTCAGGGAGAATCTTTTTCCATTGAAAAATTCTTAACTTCCTCTTCTTGCTATTTTTTCCTACTAGATTATAACTTGTTTTAAGTCAAAGATTACAGTTTATGCTGCTTAAAATCCCTCTCCACATTAATATACGTAAGTAAATATTTAAGAACTACCCCCTCCATAGTGCTAATCAATCTGCATAGAAAATGTGAGCCTTCCCTCATCCATTCAATAGTGTATACCAGGCGGTGCTCTAGACAATCAGGCAAAGTGGAGAGAAAGGTGATAGGTCAGGCCACCAAAGGCTGAAACCAGACAAAAGTAAACAAACAACCCTGTGCTCACAGTTGCCTAATTTGAGTGGCAACAGATAAATAACAAACAACAGATATACTAAGTATATAGAGAACAATGTAAGAAAGAAGGCAGTCAGAGTTATTAGGATAATAAGTAAGCAAAATCTGAGGAATGAGGAAAGGTCGGGGCTGGAGGGAGTGGGTCTCACCGAGAAGGTGAGGTGTGGGCACAGGTCTGATGGGAGGGAAGGCCTTTGGGGACAAGGGATCCGGGCAAATGTAGGGTGACAGTCACCTTAGTTTGCCTGGGACTGAGACTTTCACAGGACGTCAGACTCCTGGACTGAGGCAGCTCTTAAACTCAACAGCAGGAAATAGAGGCCAACAGCAGGGCCCGAGGCCAGAGGCTGCCCCACAAGTCCAGGGATCAGCATGCAGGGGACATGGCATCCACTTATGTGGCCAGCATGTGCCCAGCTCTGCCTGTATGTCAGTGGGCACACTGAGCATAGGGGACACACAAGTTAACAACACAGGTAATGGGGCAAGGCCCACGGCAGGAAGAGGGACTGCGACAGACACCAGCACCTGTCCCAGCAATATCAGCCTGGTCATCCCCTGGGCAGCCCCAGCCCACTCTGTGGGCTCCCTGCTCCGGGAACAGGCTGGATGGGCACTGCTGTGCCTCCCCTCTGCAGCGCTGGGGAGTCTGCTCAGCGGAAGCCAGGCTCACAGACAGTGCAGGACACAGGTCACAAAGTCACACCCAGCCACCCATCGCCCGGCAGACGTCATCCTGCTGCTACTCTTCGCTCCTTAGGGAGACAGCGGCCTCCTTGAGGAGGTCTCCAGACATTCTTAGGCCCATCGAGATGCTAATGATGAGGATTCCTTCTGAGGTTTCCAATGGCTCAAAAAGCCCCAGAAATAATTACCTTCCAGTCAACGAAACAGAAAGATGTGTGCGTGTGATGGATTCCCGATTAGGGGCTGACCTTTGCTCCCTTCTGAAACCCCTTGGATGGCACGGGTTTGGAGAGAGGGAAGGGTGGTCCCTGGGGTAGGCAGACTGGGAAACTCTGTGTTAAAGTTGCCCTGAAATGAGCATGTGCTCATGAGAAAAGCAATCGCATCAGGCTAGCATCACATTCTAACACTCGGGTGTAAATGAGCTGATGAAATTAGCTGTTCACAAATCCAAGACTGGAGGGACACCAGGAGGGGGAGGGGTGACAGAAGAGACGACGGGGAAGTCAGGGAGTCTTGGGGAGGGAGCCGGGTAGAGAGACCTGAACCCTGGGACAAAAGCACCTGAAAAGCAGCCCCGCGTCCACAACGTGAAATTGTACAGCTCCAACCCCACCCTCGCCCGCCAAGCCAGGACCGGGGAGTGGACATGATCCGCAGGGTGGCAGCGTGATCTGGTGAAACCAGGTTTTCTGGGTTCAAAGTCCAATCTATAGCTCCACTACCTGTAGGATCTGGGCACCTTACTGAACCTCAATAAATGGCAACTCTTCTTTTCTAAAGGAAGAAGACAAGGCCCAGGAGGAAGAGACACTGGTGAAGGTCACCAGCCTCACTGAGATGTCACAACTCTTGGGCAAATTCTCTGGGCTCCAGCCTGGACAGGATACGCAGACTGGGTGGGGCAGCAGGCAGCCTGGGGGAGGCAGGAGTCTGCATTCTGCACAGGCGCGGGTCAGGCAATGCTGATATCGGGGTTGGCAAAGGGCAGTTTCGGGGGACGCCGGTTTGGGACTCAGAAGCACTTCCCACTTTCCTGGGCCCCAGGCGGCCCACAGCACGGACCCCACTGTAGGATTCCCCTGCTTTTTTCATTCTCATTTTCCCCAGGAAAAAGCACTTCACAACTGCAGAGAGAGAGTGAGCTTCCCCTCAAACCGAGCTGCACTCGGGGTGGATTTCTCCAGCAGGTTTTGTAATGGAAATGCTGGCATCCTCTTAATGATGAGATCCTTTCTCTGGGATGAAAATGCAGTGACCTAGAAGACTCCATTTGCAAGTCCTCCTGACCTGCCAGAGAAGATGCCTGGTAGGATATTTGGGGTAATACATTATGCAGCTACTTGTCCTGGGATCCCCATCTGTGGGCTTAGCAGGGCAGTATTTTGAAGAAAAGGAGGGGGAAAAAAAATAGATGAACACCGGGCTTGAGAACCCTCGCCTGGATCAGAGACCAGGGTGAGCTTTCTAGTCGGCAGTATTTTGCATTTCATATGAAGCGGAATCTATTTCAGGTGCTGCTGAAAATGCAGGGATGTACCGGAGACCTGAGTCCCAGGGATGAATCCAGCCTCAGCTCAGAGACGCCGAGCGGTCTCACGCCGTCTTTTCTGCATATTCATAATGTGTCAGTGTGAAGAGGTCTTTGCTCCCAAAGAAAGGAAAGAGAAAAAAGAAAAGGAAAAGTTCCTTGGAAAGAGTCCTCTCATCTGAAGGACGTGGCCGCCTTCTCTCCAGCCCCAGTAGGTGTTCTCGTGTGACCAGCTTCTGGCCTCCACTATGCGGCTTTCTGCCGTCACTGCCTGTCACCTTGTTGAGACTGGATGTTTGTGGCCTCAGGGTGGAAGGCACCACAGGCTCAGAAAGCAAGGCTGTTGGCCCTGTGGGGGTACGGTTGTGCGTTTGGTGGTGGTACTGGGGCCTGAACCCACAGCCTTCACACTGAGCTATATCCCTGGTTCATCTTTGTAATTTTTATCTTGAGATAGGGTGTCCCTAAATTGCCCTGGCTGGGCTCCAAATTGTGATCCTCCTGCCTCAGCCTCCCAGTGCTGGGATTACAGGCATGTGCCGCCACACCCGGCTGTAACTGAATTTCGTAACACAAATAGAGCTCAAAACCTTGAGGAGGTGCCCCTTTGGGACCCGAGCCTCCTCTGCAGCACCCTAATCAGCCCTTTGCCTCTCTGCAGGATGTCCTGGTCCATCTCCTCCCGCCGGCCCCAGAGGCATCTACTGTCTTGATATGTGCAGCCCTAGCTGAGCTGGGCCTCCTTGGGGACCGCAGAATCAGCACAGCCATGAACACCTTCTTTGGTTTTTCTCAATGTTTCTGAGGCTTAAGAAGCCACTGCATGTGTCAGCGGGAACAGGTATTCGGGCTTCAGGCTGAACGCTGTGGCCTGCAAAATCCATCTGCAGGAACCTAATTCCCTTGTGATGGGGTTGAGAGCTGGGCCCCTGGGAGGGGATCAGGTCCTGGGGTCGTGGAGTCAGCACCTTTACAGAAGAGACTGCACAGAGGTGCCACGTGGCCGGGGCCACACGAGGCTCCTGAACCAGGAATGGCCCTGGTAGACACTAAACCTGCCAGGAACTTGAGCCTGGATCTCCCAGGCACCAGAACTGTGAGAAATGCTTTCTGTTGTTTATAAACCACCTGGCTGCAGAGTTTGTTATAGCAGCCTGGATGGGCCAAGACAGCTCCTGGTCACTTAGATGCTGGCAGCTCACTCAGTAGCCCCACAACTCACAAAAGCACCCACATTCCACGCTCCTGGGTAAACAGAGCTTTTGGCTCCCCACCAGTGGACTGAGGGACCTAACCTCCGGGAGCACTTCCCCAGGGCCAAGTTCCTACTCCTCCTCCACCCGCCTCTCAGCTGGAGTTTCCCAGCAGCCCCTGCCAGTCCCCAAATCGTTAATGATCTTGACCATGGGACAGAAGGCGGGCCGAAGAGCTACAGGCCCCGCCAGGGAGAGAGGTGATTGGCTCCAGCGAGGAAGCATCTGCAGGGCGAGGGAGGGCAGGTTTCCCAAGGCCTCTAGAGTCGCTGCTAATTTATCCTCCCTCTTAAATTGCCTCAGAACTCCAGTAATAAGCATGCTCATAATTGGCTGATGAAATATACTCTTCCAAAGCAATTTTACAGTAATCCTACTGTCTGCTAACCCTTACCCCACCCCTCAAGGAAAAGAAAGAAAAAAGAAAATCCTAAAGCCAAGTCATTCTAGACTGAGCAGCAACGACAGACTTTCATAATTAGGAAATGCGGCGGCGTCTCTGAACAGTACTGCACCTTTGAAAAGCAGTATCACACCGAGGCCTGAATATGTGATACCCGATTGATTTCAGATCTCAAGTCAGCTGCTGCAAAATAATAAGCTGTGCCTGTCGGAGCTGCTGGGCTCCAGTTTAGGGCCTGGGAGGGGAGGTAGGGAGGCTGTGAACCCCAGGGGCCTCTCCTGCCACCGAGGGGCCGCTGGGCCGGGGACAGGCAGGACCCCACTGCCTCCTGTCCACCCAAGGGGCTACTTTGGAACACAGCCCAGCCTGGGAGGAGCTGGCATGTCTCCATCCCTTATCCAGAACTGATTTCCTGCAGGGTGGAACAAGGTGCATAAGACTTCCCACCTGGGGAAGGAGCAGCAGCCACCGCCACTCCCAGGCTTCCAGCATCACTGCAGCAGCTCCATCACCATCAGCATGCGGAGCCCCCTGGCACATCATTCATGGAGGAGGGCATCTTGGACCTGGAACAGGACAGCACGCCCTTCTCTTCCAAGCCAGCGTCTCCCCACCACATCCCCAGGGTCCAGCCCTGGGGCTCCGGCTGGGATTGTGCTGCCTCGACAGCCCCTGAGCCATGGAGCTGTAAGCGTATGAAATGCTCCCTCCTACCCACCCAAGTTTGCTTCCGGTCCTGCTCACCCACGTCACACTCACTCTTCGGGCTCCTGGGGACGCTGCCTAGACAGCCTCGCGTTGCCAGGGTCCTTGCTTGCCACTGAGGCTCTCAGAGAACCTTCAGAAAGGACACAGCCACCAATCAGGAGCAGTGGGAGGTGCCCCACACAACCGCCCCAGCCCTTCGGGCCCTGGGTGCGGTCACCCACTTTGTTTCTCAAGGGAAAGCAAAGCTCACGGCTCCTGCACCTCTGTCCAGCACGACACGAGTCCTGTGTTTTCTCACCATCAGAGCCTTACACTGCTTTTCAGTCCTAAGGCCACATCCGGTTTTTCATCTTATTGTACCTTGAATGATGGTATTTTCTTTGTTCACGGGAAGTGCTCGGGCCTTCCGATGTGAACAGCTAATGCCCACTACTACCTATTTCGCTTATGACACAACGAGCATGCTCTCTGCATCTCTGTGCCGACATCGGATGTGAAGTTTGACAAGACAGGCGTAAAGGCACAGCTCTGGAGCATGTCGTCCAACCCCATAGCCTGGCAGCAGCTCACTGACCGAGTCCTGTGAGCACCCGGGAGCAGCCCTCGACACGGACATCTCCTTGTTACCGTCAAATCCACACTTTCTGTATTTGCCCCACAAAGATGTCACCAGCAGCTTTGCAAGCACCCTAATGACAGCCAGGCTCACGGTCTAAAGGACTGAATGGAATTCAGTTCCATCGCTGCATCTCTCACCACCCTGCCCTGCGTCCACTTCCTTTCCCTGGATCCGCACAACTGCCTCATTCCAACCTCACCGCTGGGGAAGATGTTTCTCCCGTCCTGGTGCCCACATCTGACATTGCTGCATCAACTTCTCTGGTGAGTGTTAATGCAGGCGCCCTCGAAGCTGTCCGAGGGGTGGAGAGAAGAATCAGGAAACTTTTCCTGTGAAGGAGCAAACAATAAGTATTCCATGCTTTGCCAGTCGGGAGGTCTCTGATAGGGCAGCCCTGCCGCTAGACCACAAAATCAACCACAGACAACACAGCATAAACACACGGGTAGGGCTGCGTCTCAACAAAACTGTACTGACGAGCAATGACACTTGAATTTCATATCACTCTCCCATCACCAAAGAAAGTTGTTTCTTTGTATTTTCTCTCCTGCCATTTAAAAATGTAGAGCTTATAGGACAGACAGAAACAGCTGGTAGACCAGGTTCAACCCATAAGCCTTTTTGGAAAGCTCTTGCTATAGAGTAAAAGAACACAGATGCGACCTCAGGCCTGAGTCTTTCAGCTCCAGATACTGGGTCTTGGACACCCCAAACCCTTTGGCTCTGCGCACTTGCAAGCAGGGATAAGACAGAGTGTGAAGCCCAGGGCTATGCGGGCCGCACTGGGGAGGGGATCAGAGCCCTGTAAGTCGGTTACCCCAGCCTGCATCTCTGGCTGGACCTCTTTCGTTCTAAGTGCCCCAAACACTGGCTTGTAATTTCTTATATAAACTGGCCAGGCCTTAAACACAGCATATTCCCTTTACAGAAAGCCCAGTTGCTAGACTACACTGCTGTGATCCCCCGATTGCTCTAAAATTCCTAAAGGATTGGGCAGTCACGTCCCGGGGATTATCAGGGCTCTGGCCTGTATCCCAGAGAACTATAGATTGGAAGGTGCTCAAGGGGTTTCTCCCAGGCATTTGTGTCTCCCCTAGTATGGGCTCGAGATAGTTCTCAGTAAAGAGTAAGGATAAGTGATCCACCCCCTACAGATCAATGTCACCCCACCAGCCATGGTCTAAATACTAATGTCCCTCTAAAACTCCCATGCAGAAACTTCACCTCCATCGTGGTGGGACTTGGGACCCAAGACAGAGCTCTCATCCTCCCTCACACGAGGACATAACAAGAGCACAGCTGTCTATGAACTGGAAATCAAGTCCTCACTAGGCACCAGTTCTGCCAGCGTCTTGACCTCAGATTTCTCACCTCCAGAAGCATGAGAAATAAATTCCCACTGTTTATGAGCCACTAGTCTATGGTATTTATTACAGCAGCTGTGTTGGTTTGGGGCTTATTTTGCAAGGGGAATAATATAATATAGGACACATATTTTATAAGATTTTTTATAATAATCACCCAAAGAATGAAATACAAAAGAGTGCAGGAAATCTGTCCACACACTAAGACCGAGGAAACTACCCAAGGGCCTGGATCCCATAGAAATGTCCTGCATGAGTCCAGCGGAAGACCTAGAGCTCATAACAATGCCTCCCATGAGTCCAACTGGGGGCCTAGAGCCTATGACAATATCTCATGCAGGCCTGTTTCATGGATCTGCACTGGGAAGGCCCAAAGGTCAGTGGTGGAATCTAGGAAGTCCGTGTCAGTGGGATAAAGGATCTGTGCCGGCAGGCTGAGGGATCTGCATTGGAGCCAGGAAGCAACACACAAAATAAAAACCAGAGCTCCCCTGAAAAGTACCACACCCATCCTCAGCAACAGTGAGATTCTGAGCTCCTCCAATGATCAGGACAGCCGAGTTCCCATCAGAAAGCCAACGCAGCAAGCTTCTCCAGGAGACTGAGGAGTGCACCATCTTCCCCTCCAGAGCCAGGAAGTTATGCTCAAAGTGAGGACCAGAGCTCCCCCAAAGTGAACACCAGAGCTCCCCAAAGTGAACTATAGCCATTCTCAGTGCTGACAAGGTCCTGAGCTCCTTGGAGGATGAAAACAGCCAAGTTCATCAGGAAAGTCAGCATGACAAGTTCTGCCAAGAGAACCAACAGCTCCTTACAGCTTCCACCAGCTCCCAATAGCCTTTCTCCGCTCCCAACAACCAAACTTCTCCAGTTCTCCCTCTTATGCTGCTGGCAACAGTCCCCAGGTGGGCCTCCCACGCCTAGCACCAGCTTACTCAGTTCAGCTGGGCTTATAAGTTGACCCCAGTTGTGAATCCACTACACAGCCCACCCCAACTAAGAACCCTCTACCTACTGCACACTAATTTTAAGCACTCCTGCCATCCTCTCCTGATGGCCCTTCAGCCCTCTTGGGACCATCTGGCATGACGGGTGCTCTTGACAGGCCTGCGGCCAGGGCCTGTGGTGATGACTCACTTCGTGTGCCATCTTGGCGAAGCTGTGGTGCCCATGGCTTGCCCAAACGACAGTATGGATGTTGCGCAGGTATTTTTTTAGGTGAGGTCAACATTTAAATGAGTAAACTACATGGAAAACAGATTACTCTCCACCACATGAACGGTCTCACCCCATCAAACGGAGGGACTTAAGAACAAAGATTGGGGTTCTCCAAAGTACAGGAGTTCTCTCCAGACTGCTCCCCGCCAAAATCAGGCTACAACACCAGCACTTGCTTCAGTCACCAACCAATGGTCACCATGTGGGCCAACTCGTGTGTGTGCGTGTGTGTGTGTGTGTGTGTGTGTGTGTGTGTGTGTGTGTATTCTGGGGAAGCCTGACTAATCCACTCCTCCCCTTTTTGTGGAGTAGGTTGGTTCTCTAAGAATCTTCTCCATCTCTCTTTTTGGGGCATGCACGGTGGCATACATGGAAAGGCCTTGTACACCAAAGCCCTTATAACTCGTCCTTATAACATGTAAGGTTTAAGATGGACCCATCTCCTCTCTGCTTTGCTGGCTGCTCTCCCTGGTTTGGACAGTATGTCTCATTTTGTCCTCAGCTTCTCTTCCTTCCAGACGCGCTGTAAGAGCAGGGCTTCTTCCGGGTAAGGTTTTTGTTTTCCCCTAACCCAGATGAATTCCTTATGGTCCCAATTAGCAGTTTTCTTTTCTGCTTCCTCTCTCCACCTTTTGGACAGGAAAGCGGTGATCTCTTTCAGGCAGCCGGAGGAAAGTAGGATCTTCATCCCGCTCTTGCCATGTGTCTGTTTTGTGTCGTCTTTATTGTCTCTGTTCTAGGCAGTGTTTGCAAGAGAAACAGATTTAATGTGCAGGACACAGATATTGACAAGATTAGCTGACAATATCTCCCCCCCAGAGTCAGATGTAGAAGAGGTCTGTCCTCAACAGAGATCCAAAGAATCTGGCCAAAGGCCCGGAGGCCAAGGCAATGGCCCATACGGGTCCAGTCCGTATCAGGAGGTCGAGGACTCCACAATGGGAAACTGAAGGGTCCGAGGCGGGAAGCCACGAGCTGACACCCGAGGCAAAGGCGAAGACTGGAGCTCAGCTGAAGCCATCCCTGGCAACACCAAAGGTCGGAGCTCAGCTGAAGCCCCTGTGAAGAAATCCAGCTGGAGCAAAGCTCTTCCAAGGAAAATCAGCAGAAATCCTTCCCTCCTGCTCTCCTTTTTGTACCTTTCCAACAATGCTCCTCCCTAGAGGGGTCTTCTGTGTCCAGAACCACCCTGATTCAACTCAGCTGAGCATTCCCACTCAAGCTGATAACCAATTAACCACCACAGTCATCCTGTCCTCAACAAGGCTGCCGTTGCCCTCTCCACCACCAGCATCTTCCCCTCAGGCTCAGATTTGCATTGCGGGGAAACCTGCTAAGCTTCCATTCCCTCCGGGGATTTCCATGTCTGCTCCTGCATCTGGCACCAATTATGGCTCCACATTAATCCATTCCATTGCTCAGTACCAGCTTCCACGAATCGCAGGGCAGAAGGGGACTTCTGGTCCTGAAACCCCGGGTTTGAGTGTCTCCAGTGACTAGAAACTCACTTTCTCCCGTGCAGTTCAGCGGCATGTGCCGTCCATCACCTCTAGCTCACCTGGAGTTGGCAGTAGCGCCCACCTGGAAGGTTAGAAGGCAGGACACTCACAGCTGGGCCAGTCAAGCCACACTGTCTGAAATCTGTCTTTTCAAACCCAAAGATGGCCAGAGAAGGTAAGCAAAAGAGGTGCATCTTGTCTGCCAGTTTCTTCCATGATCAAAACAATTCCTATGAAAATACATGTTGCTCCTTTTTGGGGATTTTTTTTTTGCACTTTGTCACTCAATCCCTGTTTTCTAGTATTTTTGAAAGTCTACCAAGTTTTCCCAGTAACATCCATTTAATGTAAAAGTATGGACAAAGAACTTAGCAAGGATGGTGTGATCCCCATAGAACCTTGGATGGCCAGGGGATTTTTCATCAAGATCAAGGGTGACAGTGAATATTGGGTCTAAGTAGGAAAATGTAGCAAAATGCTGCTCTAATCAAAGCAGTAAGGATGCCTAGCAAATACATCAAAGCACAGAGGTCTCAGAAATATATCTGAGTCCATATGGAAATTTAATATATGGTAAAGGCATAGGAAATGGAATATCCCTGCCAGAAAACAGTTAGATACCAGCCTTCTGATAAAGTACTTTCAAAGGATAAACTAATAGGGTCAAGGATATAGCTCAGCGGCACAGTACCTGCCTGGCAAGCACAAGGTTGTGAGTTCGATTCCCGGTACAAAAGAAAACAAGACAAAGCATAGGCATATAGGAACATAATTTAGAATAGGTTTGTAATGTCCTGAGGAAGGTGTTGCTCAGACAGAAAACAAATGAATTTACAGCTCTTACCACATGAAAATTACAATCTTATTTGAAAAAGAAAAACTGAGTAATGAGATATGCTCACAGCATTCATATATCTTACACAAAAAAATCTAGAATAAACTTATATGAAAATATAAGTACTGTGTAGAAAAACTAGGAACAGAAGAAACAGTAGTCTGTAATCCAAGAAGGGGAACAAACTCATACCAGGAAGATGAAAAGCAGAATACACGTTAAAATAACAAAATACCACTTTTTATTCATAAATTGGATCCAGCCAAAAAAATTGATAATATCTAATAACAGCATGGGCAAAGAGACATGGAGTTGGAGAAATAGCGGGCACTACCCTTTGGGGGCCGTCAGTTTTGCAATATTTACAAAGATAAAAATGTGGGTGAATTCTGACACAGACTGTCCTAAAAGCACACGCCCCAGGAAGGCTTGCACACCCTAAAGACGGGTTATCAGCCCTTGAGAGTAAGATGATGACAACCCCAAGGAGATCACCAAGGAGCGAATGCGAGAAAAGTTATGCGACTGTCATACGAAGTTAAATATCCGTAACCAATAACCCAGAGGGGAGTTGCAGACCTGGTGGTTCCTGGATAGCCAGGACGCGTCCCGGACAGGTGGGGTGGGAGGGCGAACTCACACCGCTCCCGGGTCCCTCCGAACCACTCCACCCCGCACCCCAGGCGCAGAGAGAGACTCTGCTGGCGGATTTATGTGATCGCTTGGTGGCGGACTTAAGGGACAGTTTTACTTTTTTTGATGTTTTTCTGTATTTTTCAAATTTAAAAAATGCAACGCAGTTTCTCATTCTAGTACTGGCACAAAACGAGCGTTTAAGAGAGCGTAGCTGTGCGCTGTCGCAGTGACGGCCTCGCCCTGGCCGCTTTCGGCTGCTGTTTGAGCCGCTCCGCTCTTCTCTTCCCCTGTTGGAGGAAGAGGACAACCCCGCTCGGGACCCCAGGACTCCACGCTCCGCTCCCTCTGCACCTCCCTCCCGTTCAGTGCCTTTGGCGGTGGCATTCGTTTCCCTGTAGCAAATGAAATGGAAAACAAGTTATCAGGGAGGAGTCCTTACAGCCCGCCGGGGACGCCCTGCAGGGAGACAGGTGACCGGGCCAGGCCGGGCCAGCACCGTGTGAGCCCTGCAGAAGCGCAGTACCTGCCACTTCGGGCTCTTGTTCCTGAGGCTTCTCTGGGCATGAAGATGGCGCAAAGCCTGTGCCCAAGAGTTTCTCCCTGCTGGCACCGACAGCGCGCACCCTGGGGACCTGCTCAGCCCTGCGCCCGGAGACCTGTGTGCGGTCCCCCCGGGCAGGCTGGCGGGGGTGTCTGCGCTGGGATGGGGGAGGGGAGCAAGACACCTGTGACGGCGCCTAAGGACAGGCCGGTGCCGGCCCCCCCGCCTGTATGAAGGAGGTGGGCCCAGGCCGCCCGCGCTGGGGAAGGGACCGCAGGGGGACACAGGTCTGAGGTCCTGCTCCCCACCCTGGGAATCCCGACGCTGGGGCAGGCGGCCTGGCTCCGAGAGCTGCACCGACCCCTCCGGGGGCCCTACTTGCACCCCGCTTCCCGTCCCCCCCTCCATGGAGTTTCCCACCCCTCCGTCCCAGGCCCCTCCAGCTTCCCATCAAAGCAGCACCTGGGCAAGAAAACAGGTTTCCTAACCAGCCCGAAGTCCCGGGCACCCTGAAATAGATCCCCTTGAGGCCCCCCGAAAGCGCTGCCTCAGCGAGCCGCGCCCCTTTGCGCGCCCTCCTGGCCTTCTGCTCACGCCCGGCCTCATCTCTGGGGCACCCTATCTCTCTGGCCTTCCTGGGGAGCAGGGTTCTCGGCCCCCAGGCTCCTAGAGGGTTCCAGCCAGGCGCGTGCTGGGCCTGCCCTCCCACCAGACCCGCTAGGCCCGCAGAAGCCCAGCTCCTCCAGCTTCCTATGACTGAAAAGCCCGCCGGATCCTCGCGTTCAGCCAGCCTGGACTCAGTGCCTACAGCTGTTCCGCTTTCTTACAGGCAAACCCTCCCAGGTGTGCTCAGCACGCGGCCCTGCTAGGGTGAGGGCTCGGCACCTGGGCTGCGCCTACCCAACCAAACACCGGGAAACGTGGCTCCTTCACTGATTACCCCAGGAGCTGGTGGAAGTGTTAAACAGAAAAACAAAAGTAAAATCATCGAGCGCGATGCCTGACGCACGCTAAGAACACTGCAGTGTTCGCTATCAGTCACTTACGGTCTAGTATGAAATAATACCTGGCTGTCGCCTGCTCAGGGGTCTGGAAAAGGGAAATGAGGTGAGGAGCCTGTGTGTCTTCGGGAGGGAGCACCCCAGCCAGGCGAAGGGCAGGGAAGGGCTGATGCCCGCCACCGCGGCTGTCACAGACTCGGCTCCAGGACGTGGCGGTGGTTTGCACGGGTTGCTCTGTCACGGGTCCCCTCTCCTCTCTGTTACTCGGGAACAGCAGTGCTGTCCCTGCTGTAACCCGGATCCCGCGAGGGGAAGACATCCTGGTCTGTGAAGGTGGCCCTTGTGGGAGGCGGGGAGCAAATGCCAGGTTTGCTGAATCGGATCGTCTTCTCCATATCACCTTGAGACAGCTTCCCAGCTCCAGTCCGGACGGGGACTTGTGTGTCATTTCGCACCCCGCCCTGGGGGAGCTGGGTTCAGCAGGGAAGAGCGCACTGCCTCGGCTTCTGGTTCTCCCTCTATGCCCATGCGGGTGGATAAGGGATGGAAGCACTGATACAAGGAGGGAGACTTGAAAATAAGGTGTCAAGGGGCTGGGGATTTAGCTCAGCGGCAAAGCGCCTGCCTGGCAAGCGCAAGGTCATGAGTTCGGTTCCCGGTACTGGAGAAAAACCAAAAAAAAAAGAAAATAAGGTGTCGAAGGGGCGGGCAGCTGGAGAGATGGAGGTTAAAAGGATGGGAATGGAACAACCGTCTCAAAGAAGCAACAAAAGAAAAAACCCAGTATGACCATGGGCAGGCAGGGGCAGGAAGGGGCAAATGGGCACGGCCCGGGGAGAAAAACCCAGGCACCCCAAGGAAATGGAAGCCCCTGGATGTCCCGGGATGGATGTCATTTTGTTTACCGTGTCATCGATTTTCTCCAGCGCCAGCCCAGTACAGGGACGTAGCAACCGCTCAGGGAAGAACGGCAGCTGGACATTGGCACAGATGTGAAGAACCCCAGGAGGGCTGGCACCGCCCATCCGAGGGGCCCAGAGAAATCTGTGTCGTGGATGCTAGAACACAGCCCATTCACACTAGCCTGACTCCCCGCACTGACCTGAAGACTCCTCACAGCTAACAAGATTCAGCTGCCACTGTGTCCCCAAAGCCCAGCTGGGACTCAGAACCCGGAGACACCTGTCAGCTGGCCCCGCAGGCAGGCGAGCCCAGTGTGTGCTGAGGACACTCCCAGGACACTTCCAGGGTCCCCACCGAGAGCACAGAGAGAGCGGGTGGCAGTGACCCTCAGGCAGCACAGCACAGCCAGGCAAAGCTTCCCGAGAAAATATTTCAAGAAGGGTTGTGGGGGAGCTGGGGATTTAGCTCAGTGGCACAGCGCCTGCCTAGCAAGCGCAACATTGTGAGTTCGATTCCCGGTACCGGAGAAAAGCCAAAAAAAAAAACAAGAGGGGTGGTGGGGATCATCTTCCATCCCTGGGACAAAATACCTGACACCAACACCTGCAAGGTAGAGGACTGGCTTCGGCTCATGGTCTCAGAGGGTGGGCTGTCTGGCTCCACCGTGGGAACATCATGGCAGGAGGGTGCGGTGGAGGAAAGTGACTCACCTCCTGGCATCTGAGAAGCAGAGAGCTGAAGACAGTCAGAGAAGAAGAGGTCAGGGACCGGATATAGCCCCCAAGGTCACAAGCTCATGACGCACTTCCTCCAAGTAGGCCTCACCGCCCACCAGCCCACTCACCTAAGAATTCCTCCATGGACGGATCTGCTCGCTCTAGAAAATGTGCTATGGTCTGGGAGGAGGCGTTTCCACCCATGATGATTTCTGCTTCATGGAAGCTGAGGAAAGTGGGAGTTGGGTGAAGGGAAGGGATCAGGAAAGGGAGGTGCCCTGGCGCCTGTGGGGAGCGGCGGTGAGGCTGAGGAAAGGAGATGTCTGCAGAGGTGAGAATTGAGCCCCCACTGCACCCCCATGAGGAGGCCGAAAACCCTGGGCTTTGGCAGTGGCTCCTCACCCGCAGGGAGGGACACCTGGGAACACCTAGATGGGCACCAAGGGCAGCCAGCCCCATGCAGAAGCTGTCTTTGCCATGCCCTGGTGTCCCCCGGGCAGGAGCTGGGTCCTTCTGTGCCGCTAAAGGTCGTGCTGTCTTCAGGGACGGCAGCGGGGGAAAAGACACAGCAGCAGGACCTCAGGAGGACAGCACCCGGGCCACGCCAGCGGCCAGGCAGAGCCAGGGACCCCAGCTGGGCCTCCTGCATCTCACCCCACCCTGGACTGAGAGCAAGGGGTGCATCCCAGCTCCGCCCCAGCTCCACCAGCCCCGCCGTGAGAGTCTGCGTGACCTGCTTCCCAGCTGCCCCAGCTCCCTGGGCCGAAAGGACTGCATCTGGCCCAGCTTAACTTCCCACGCAAGCTGGTCGGTAAGCGTGGGATGGGTCTTTGTAGAAAAGGACCTCAGAAAGCTTTCTTGAGTTGACAAGGGATTGGCGGGGATGGCGGCTGAAGGCGTGAGTTCTTTCTGCATGTGCACACACACTGGTTCTCTCCGTCCTGACCCAATGTCCTGCGGTGGACACCTCCCCCATCAGCGCACTGGGCCGGGCCACTCCCACCCCACGGATCCCAAACCCCAGGCCGCTTCACCCCAAAGAGCCTGGCCCCAAGGCCACACCACAGCCGGCAGCACAGCAACAAGAAGGGCTTCTCCAGGGTCTGACTTCCCCTAAGCAAGCAGGACTCGCTCCACCTGCATTGGCTAGTGCACACTGGGTGTGCTACGGATGCGTGTGAAAATCAGTGACAAAAATGGCAACGCAAAAGCAAACACTGGTGGGAGAGGGAAGCTGGCTAGGTAGACTGCCGTAAAATGCTCACAGCAATCCGGCCCCTCCGGGGTGGGGGTTGTGCAGCTCGCCTACAATCGCACTCACAGGGACACGCCACGAGCCCCCGAGCTTACGTCTGAGGGACAGCACGGCAAGCACATCTACAAAACTGTTAGGGGAGCTCCGATCGCTCCGATGCCCCTGAGACGGCTCCCACACTGAAATCCAGCCTGGTCTGAGGCCGGGGCTGTGATGTCCACAGCGGGGTCTACCTGGGCCCCGTCCTCCTGTCCCTTTGAGCTGGTGAGGCCCTGGGTGTCGGAAGCACAGCTCAGGTGTGCATTGTGACCACTCAGCAGGTGTGATAGGTGCCATCCCCTGCCCCGTGTGTGTGTGTGTGTGTGTGTGTGTGTGTGTGTGTGTGTGTGTGTGTCTCCCTAGAGCCCTAGGCAGGGATCAGCTCGGGACCCGGGAGTCCCTGACCCAGCATCCCCTGTTGTTGTCCTCCAGCCCCGGAGTCCAGGGCTGTCGCAAACCCCAGCTCCGCGTTGCTGAGGGAACCCTGGCCGTTCCATTGTGCCCACTCCGTGCCCAGCCGGAGAGCCGGGGAGAACCTTAAGTCGCTGCGCCACCCGGTGGTCATCATGAGGACTGCAGGTCGGGCGCGCCCCGACGCGGCCACCCACACCTGTCGGAGCCGGGCGGAGACCGCAGCCCGGGATGTCCCCGCGGCGGCGGCTGATCGGACCGGAATGGGGCCCGGGCCTCGGCATGCGCGGGTGCCTGAGTCGAGGGGGAGGACTCGGGCGCGGGGCCGGGTTCTCTAAAGCCAGCCCCAGCCCCGCTGGAGCAGGGAGCTCGGCAAAGCGGCGCCCCCAGAGCTGCTCCAGGGGCGTCGCGCGGGACAGGCTCGGGGTGCGGGCGGAGCAGCGCCGGGCGGCCTCCGGTCCATCTGCCCCGGGCGCGCTGCGGTTCTGGCCGCGGGGGTCCAGGAAATGTCCCCAGAGCCCCGCCCATCGCCAGCTCCCTTTCAAGAGACACAGACGACTGACACTACCAGGGCCCCGCTGGGGCCCCGAACTCCTGGCCCTGCAGAGCCGCATCCCCGGGGACGCGATCGTCCCGAACCGCCCCGCCTGGCTCCGGAGCAGCGAGGGACGGCTGGGGCCGCGCGCCCTCCAGTGGCCGCCCGGGGAGTGACAGCCCGGGAGGCGAGGCGAGCGTGGCCGGCTTCTCTGCTGGGCTTCCCAGCCCCGCGGAGTCACCAGGCTGGCGGGGGGCTGGGGGGCCCCGAAAGCCCTGGCCGGGGAACGACCTTCAGCTCGTAACACCTCACAGAAACTCTGGGCATCTTCCCGAACAGCGGCTCTGTCCACCTCCAAGAGCAGCAATGCAGTTTGGTTTGGGAGAAGCCTGGCTCTCTCTGGTTTTCACAATGGGTCGAGGGCCGTCCGAGGCGGGCACCACGTCCAGGCGGCGCGCTCTCAGGAGGGAGGGAGCAGAACCAGGCTGGCAGGGGTCTGAGGCCTGCTTTAAACGCTGGCCTGAAAACCCAGGCCAGCAGCGCTGCTCCTTGCAAAAAGCCTCGCCTCGTCTGCAGAGCACGCGGTCTTCTTATTGGCTCCTGTAAAATAGAAAATCCACTGGGCAGCGCATGCCCATTCGATGGATTTCAGGAACGCCTGAGCGATTAAGATGGAATTGTTTAAGCACCCTATAAGGATTATTTGTTTGTATCTTTGCACTTAAATTTTCTGCGGTTTCAAATACTGATAACCTATTAAAGGTAATGTTTGATCCAGGAATGCTGGATCAAACATTTTAAAATCAAAGAGCATTAGCATTTATCATCTACCTTTCGCTTGGCTCCTCTGAGCACTGTGTACCGCATCAGACAATTTACACACACCATCCCATTTACTAGCCAGATGTGGTGGTGAAAGCCTGTAATGCCAGCAATCTGGAAGGCTGAGACAGGAGGATTGCAAGTTCAAGCCCAACCTGGGAAACTCACAAAGATGCTGTCTCAAATTTTTTTAAAAAAAATGCTTTCAAAGGCCAGGGATATAGTTTCAGCCCTAGGTTCATTCCTCAGTACCAGACCAAATAATAATTGTCCTAACACACCTCTGTAAAGGAGGTATGATGATCTTTATCTTGTTAAGGAAAGAACAGACACAAAACAACTGAGTGATCAGGAAGTCCTACCCATTTTATTGACTGGAAAGTATGTGGTCTCTCCAATCTGCTTTACTGCCCGCACATAAGAGTTGGTAGTGCTGGCAGAAAGCGTCCATTTCTAAAGTACCCTACACCAGCAAACGCTGATGGATTTTTTTTTTAATTACATGACAAATAGAACTTCAGATCAGAAAGGTGAAAATAAATCCTTAAAAGGAAACTGATGTAGTATATAGATTCACAAAAAGGTTTCCTTTCCAAAGATGCCTGTAGAGAAGAAATGTGGACCTGAAAGAGTTAATTTAAACTTGGAGGTATGATAGACATTGTGAAATGATAGGAAAACACTCAAGGGTAAAGGGCAACTGGGATGTGGGAAAAGAGAAGGGAAAGAAGGAGAAATTTTGTATGTGTGTATATACAGGATAGTTAACATAGTTGTTCTACTGTCTTCTATTTCTTTGCTGAAAGAAACTGTCAATGAGTTCTTGATTGATCAATATTGCATGTCTGTTTTCATGAGAAACCACTTTGAAGATATCAATACATAATACAAGAAGTATTGTTAA